GGCTGAGTTGGCGATCAGATCATCTATTGCCGGCCTGAAATGGTGCCATGTCCAGCCCCCTTGACACGCCACTCCACCGGGCCCATGCTGCCGAGGGTGTCCGCCAGCACAGGTCTATTTCGGGCCAGGTAGCTGTCGCCAACTACCCACACACCTACAACGATTACGCAATTTGTCATTATAATTATGGAAGCAGTTTACATTCTTATATATTGGAGATAACAATCAGATGACCATCGACCAAATCTCTTAATGGTCTCTGCATCAACACCGTTCATAGCTGCCGTAGTAGCAGCCCCGATTCTGAAAGAGTGAGAAGTGAATTTAAGATGCCCCACGTCAAGATGACTGATGGCTTTCTGCAGCACTGCCTGAAACTGAAATCTAGTTAGTTGTTTGCCATCAAAGTGAAGGAAAAGATAAGGGGAAGCAGTCGGTCGCGATTTTAGTCTGGCAGCGACGGGAATATTGAGCTTTGATGTGGATAGAAGTACATGCATGACATGCGCTGCGTTACCTGTAATCTTTACATCATGAATAGTGAGAGACCTACGCGACGTGTCAGAAAGGGAGGTAGGTACCAACTCACTTATCCTGAAGAAACCGAAAAAGGCCAGTGTATATGCTGCTTTAAAAAGATTGCATTCATAAACAGAAGAACAAACAATATGAAGAACGTTGGAAATTGATAATAATATTTCTGCTGTGATCGGGCGTCGACTGTCTTTGGCCCTAGCTGCTTTGCTGAATCCTAAGAGCGTCTTCCGCACCAGGAAATGTTGGGATGCATCCTGCATGTCGTGCCACTTGTGCCAGGTTCCCAGTGCTGAGATATAGGCGTTGGCCGTTCTAGACGATTTACCCTGCAATGACAATGCTGACAAGTAATACATAATATGATCAAGCGGTGCCGGCCATGTAGATGGGAGACAATGTGACACTCTGAACTCGTTGAAAGACTGTAACGCTGTATGATAGGTCCTCCAAGTGTTTCTGGATAGTGACAGGTCCAGTAAACGGTCCGACTCCAGTCTTAGATGTCCCAGATGTCCGGTGGTAGTGGTGTTGCTGTTGAGTCTGCTTGTGGTGCTGCTTCCCGGAAACGATCCCACTGAAACCTCGAAATAGCATCAGCTATAACATTATCATGAGTAGAAATGTACCTGGAACGGAACAGAATATTATGATTCAGACATGAAGCTACTAGCAAACGCACGAGAGACATCACCTTGGGGTTCTTGGATGTTTGCCTGTTGATGATGGACACGACAGCTTGGTTGTCACACACAAACATTACCTTGTTGTTAAGAAACTTAGGTGCCCACAAACGTAGGGCTACGATGAAAGGAAACAATTCCAGGAAAGTCATGTCTTTCATGTAACCCGCTCTCACCCATTCGCCTGGCCATTTACCATACGCCCAACTCCCATGGAAGTATACCCAGAACCCGCACGAACTGGCAGCGTCTGTGAAAAGCTCTATTTGGGTTGACGTGATCCACTCTTCATTCTGAAACACAGATGTACCATTATGGTTGAGGAGAAATGTTTGCCAGACTTTAAGATCTTCTTTCCTCCCCTGGTAATCCTGACTCGGTGATATGGTTTTACCTGACCCTTGATAGCGTCGTACAGGCGCCTGCAGAAAGCTCTGCCTGCTGGGATAGCACGTGTAATGAACTGGAGTCTACCGACCAATGATTGCACCTCTACTACCCGTATTTTCTTTTTACTGCTCGTGAGGATTGCTTGTATCTGCCGGGTGACCTCTGTTATCTTCTCCGCCGGTATTGTCACCTCCATAGCTACAGTGTCTATCGTCAGGCCCAAAAATGTGATTGTAGTGGAGGGTCCGACAGTTTTGTCATTCGCAATCGGCACACCAAATTGCTGAAACATGTCCATAGAAAGTTTTAAGTAATTCAGAACATGTGTTTGTAAAGGGATAGCCCCCCAACAAGAAATCATCAAGGTAATGAATTAAGGAATGCGAGGAGCTTTTCTTTATGATGCACCATTCAAGAAATGTGCTGAACTTTTCAAATAATGCACAGGAAATCGAGCATCCAAATGGTAAACATTTATCGAAGTAATATTTACCTTGAAAACACATTCCTAGAAGATGAAAGTCTTTGGGGCGGACCGGAATCAATCTGAACGCAGATTTGACATCAAATTTGGCCAACTCGGCACCTTTACCCAACTTTTGTACCATGGTAACTGCTTCGTCGAATTTTGTGTAGGTCACCGACGAAAGCTCCTGGGGGATAAAATCGTTAATAGACCTACCTTCTGGGTAAGACAAGTGATGAATAAGCTGTAGTGATCGTCTGTGGGCACCGATTCACTGCTAACCTTTTTGCCTACCAAACCTATCGGTGATACAATCAAATCCGGAAAGGGAGGAGATTCAAACGGTCCACTTATTCTCCCCAGTTTGATTTCTTTGTTGAGTTTTTCAGCTGTCACGTGTGGAAGTTGGGTAGCTGACTTGAGATTGTGTGCAAACCTTGGTCCAGTAGGCCCAGTGTACTGCAAATTGAAACCCTCAGAAAAACCCTGAAACAACAACTGTGCATCCATCATATTTACAGTACCATAGAGAGATAGCCAGGGAGAGAGATTAGTAAGATTTATTGGTACCTGAGCCAATTGTTTTACCTGTACTTGTGACAGTTGTGCTGGCATTTTGGTACTTGTGGTGTTGCTGGGTCGTGCCTGGTGCGTTTCGGGAACGAAAAAGTGACGACTGACAAGAGCGGGCCCCGTGGCTGAAACTCTGACACTTGGAACACCTGTGTGGGAACTTGCACACGGATCTTGTACACTGGGAACGATTAAAATCCCAACATACATTATCATCACCCTTTGACCTTTTGGAGAAAGAAGGAATGCTTGGTGACAGGGTTTTCTTACCTGGCAACATACACTTTAACCAAAGGTAACCGTCAATCTTACCCCATGACCTGGCTGGGTCACGTGCCATTTTGTGACGAAAGTGATAATCGTAGGTCGCCCATGAATCTCCACCGTGCTTGAAGGCTGCTCCCCTGATTGTTTCAGCGTATGACAGTAATTCCATTTCAACACTGAATTCTGCGTGCTTGCTTACGTATATCCCCATGAAGATATGGAAAGCAGTCGTCCATGCGCGCTAATAGTCAGTGGACGTGCAGTGTGAGATTCCTTAGAATATGGCTTGAACAAGACCTGACCATTGCTATCTGAAACAAGTCTGGCGGAGGGAATGAAAGAAAGTGACGTAATACCAAAATATTATGATGACGTCTCAATTGTGTGATGACGTAATGTAAGCGGATGTGATGAAATGCACATCTTTGGGTGTTTGTAAACATGAGCACGTGTTTTGTTAAGAGGAATTTATTGTGTTTGCTGTAAAGAAATTATATGTAATTGTCAGTAGAATGAGAATAATTGTAGGAATTCAGGAAATGCATGGAGCGTACAATAACGACATTTAGCCAAATAATGCTAAATGGAATTATTGTTTTTTCTGGGACACCACTGCAGCGCTTGCAAAAAAAATATGAAAATAAATAATAAGTACTTCAGTTTGCTTTCCTTTGTTACGTTGTTCTCTTCTATTAAACGACGTATGTTATATGGTATTACTAGATTCACAGGAAACTTTGTTGGAATCAGTTAAACTCCTTAAAGAGAGACATTGTTCCGTAAGCTGGTTGCGTTAATAAATAAAAAGAAATTGTTCAAAGTGCACTTTGTCCAAAATGTCCAGTCACATACTTCCTTTTTCAATATATGCTATCCAAAAAGCAACGCATAGACGTTTTGTATTTTAAAAATATCTATTAATTACCTATTGTGTTAAAACAATCGTTACAATATGTAACAAAAGTGTTGATAACACCTGAAAATGTTGATTTTGATGACATTTCTTACAAGGATTAAAAAGGCATCACCACAACGGAACAGAAATCACATTCCAGTTGAAATTGTGCAGCAAAGAGCATGCACTGTCTGACTACAAAAATCCAGATTACTTTCGGAAATCGGCATTCGTTTTGAAGGAGTTTCAAGATCAAATCACTATGCCACGACTTGGCGCTGCGACACCGAACATCGCCATTGGAGATTAACAGTCTTCTGTTACCAGGTGTCTGAATGTTAGTCTGAGCACGATATCACAGCTTACAGCTTGTTACAACCAAACAGGTATAACAAATGACCGTCCCCGTACAGGCAGACCTCGAGTCACCACTGTAGCCCAAGATCGGTACATCCGGGTACTACATTTACGTGAGCCCACTGCCACGGGTGAGAGCACAGCAGCCAGGGTGCCTGGACTTCGGAGGATATCCGGTCAAACTGTACGGAACAGGTTGAGAGAGGTTGGACTGAGAGCCGGGAGATCCGATGTCGGGTCCGCGCTACGTCGTTACCATGGTGATCAGCATCTCCGTTAACTAAAATTATACACTTGGTTGTATAGACAATTCATTCTTCGAAACTGATGCAAAAATTCATGTGCTAAAGTCTATTTGTGGACGAGTTATACATGTTTGAAAATACAACATGTTCGCAACAGATTTCTGGGATATGCGTTTCTTTTTTGGAATAGTTTACATATATGTCCACATATGCAGCTGTTCCCAACTGTACCTGTCTATCCCATTCCCATCCCGCCTGCACTTGTCTATCGCACCTGCACCTCTCTATCCCACCTCCACCTGTCTATCCTTTTACACGCGAGTTACCGATCAGCTGTTTTGTGCTGGTTGAACAGCATTGTACAATTGTTATGCTAATGTTTGATGTGGGATAACATGATTGTCACAGTATTTAATTAGACTTTGCTTATGTTTATTAATGAAACAGACAGGCTCCGTTTCAATATCCACTGGGGCTCATTCAGAATACATGACAAGGATTCTATTCTAACATTGAATATTCACGTTTAATGAAAGCTTAATGTCCATTGATGTGATACCGGAAACATTGTAAATTCATTTGGATTTTTGTAAAGAGTATTTTAATGTCATTGACGTAGTTACAGTCCAGTGGTTTAAAAACAGCTTGGTACTGGTATTTGAAACATGTATTACGTCACATGGGGTATGAATTTATCCCACCACAATCGGGCTCGGTGTCGACTTCAAGGGGAGGCCGTTCTCATGACAACTCGAAGGGTTGGCCGTCTCCAGGTCCGGCTTGAAACATTTCACTTTGGCAAACAGGCACCTTGGGACAGACAGACTTTGTGTGAGGAAACAACAAAATAACATAAGGAAGCGGATGGGATTCTTAACGCTGATATGCACCGTTCGCAAGAGACTGAAGTTGGAGTGGGGATCACAATCGTTATCAAAACGGGACTAAGCAGGAAAACAGCCGGAACACTTTCTTTTCAGGGCCAAAGATACAACTATCAAACATACACAAAGATGTGTAACTCTGTATTGTCCCTAAGTGGCGACCTAAAGGATTTGGCTACAGACGATTTCCCCCTCAAACTACAATTCTTTGGAATTCTCTTCCAGAAGCGTTGAAAAGAGCACCAAGTCTTTTCCTGGGGTGGTATTCATAAGCTTCTTAGTGGATTTAAGAATTCTTAACTCTTAGGACAGTTCTTAGAAGCTTTATGAATACCGCCCCTACTCTTCAAGAAATACTACGACTTGTGAACTAGTCAAATTTGGAGTTTAGCCCAGTGTTCTGATGCTTTTTGTGGAAACGTATATTTGCGAATTTAATCTAATGAACTAAACGATAACACTTATTGTCTACAATGTAAAACTGAGGAACTAAACGTGATAACAATTATTTCTAATGAGGAACTGAAGAACTAAATATAATAACACTTATGGGTAAAAAAACGAAGAACTAACTGAATGTGTAAACTTTTGCGTTGATGTATTTCTAAGAATATAACTAATTTCACTAACCCCTAATATTTAAATTCTAACTCTATTAATGTTCAAAACCCGACTAATACTAAACTAATCTAACCCTGAATATGTAAACTCTAACTTTCTTTACTAACTAAACCCAACTGATTGTCCAAATTAATTTACGAATATCTAACAACTGACTGACTTTCTAACCTAACTCTAAATTTACGTCTGGTGTCAGCGAAGTTGAAAACCGAATTCAATTAAAATTCTAACATATGAAATCTGGGAACGTGTGTAGTTCACTCGCAGGCAAATCTCGTGCAGTCAGTGTCTATGCGTTTCCATGAATGTTTTTAAATTCCATAAACACTAACTGAACGAGATGCGTTTGAGTGAACTCTCCCGAACACCCAGTACAGATGGACTCATTATTATCATTATCATACATCCTCATCGATTAACCCCTTCTTAATTGGTTCATTTTAAGACACTATCAAATATTTTCTGATATTTGGCTAATTCAGATCAAATCAGTACAACAGTGAGAGTCTTACTGGTTCGTGTAGATGTTCCCGTCCGAGGCGCAGAGATCGGCGTCCACGTTGGTCCCACAGACGATAGCGTTGATGTTGGTACAGAAGACGTCCTTGATCAGGTCATACGCCGGGTCATGGCCCCACGTGACAGAGCTTGGAGTGGTGGTCGTGTGACTGACTGAGTTTGGACTGCTGGCGGTCATGTGACTGGCTGCAGATGGCTTGACCACACACGGACCTTTGTGGTCCAGTTTTATGGTGGATGAAAGCTGGCAGGTTGCTTTGGCAAACACACAACTGGATGTTCATGAAATATATCAAATATACATACAATAGTACTTACATTCCCCTTGCAAAGGTAATGGACGGCAATGTATTATATTCATGACATTATAATAAATGGAAAGTAGCATATTCCTCAGGTAATGGCGAATGGGAAGTTGGATATGAATGAGATACCAGGTGAGGTGAGGTGAGGTAAAATGGGGTTTAACGTCGTACTTGAGAATATTTCACTCATATGACGACGTGCTTGCGTGTGTATGTGTATGTGCGGCTGCTTGTAATAGCCCAGACTGAAGCTGGTTTTATAGTGCTAGCCCACTGAGATACCATGCCGTAGTGAAGCATGAATACCCCACTCAGACACCCTGAGCCGACCAGTCCTTGTTGTGCCCATTAATGGCGAGCGCCAGGCAGGGACCAACAAGTACCATATTTTAACGTCTTTTGGTATGACGCAGTCGGGGATCGAACCCGCGACCTTCCGCTCTCCGGGCGGACGCTCTAACCACTACACCACGGAGGCGGTCCTGAGATACTAGTGAATTGGATAGTAGTATATCTTTGTGGTAATAATAAATTGATGAAGTTGACGTAAATGATAACTTTTCTGTTGTGACATTTGAAGGCAAATTTCTACATTGATACGGTAATATGGTTTTGTTTTCACATGTTGCTCATAAGGGGTGTCTCACTCACTCACTCACTCACTCACATGACATCGGCTCAAAGTCTACTCACTAGTTGGGGTAAGCGACTTTGTCGGTGCCACACACTGTCTCGTCCCTTGTGACTTTGTGTTGACTGCAGTCAAACTTCAAGATGGCAGCACATATCGGGTCACGGAAAGGCCGATGGTGGATGTGTTCTAGGATTTGCTCCACTGACTTCGTCGACATCGGATGGCGAGCTAGTGCCCATTGAATCTCGGACAAAAGAACTGCAAATACATTTAGTTGTACTTCACATAGGTTGTACTGTGTTACAAAACATGTCGACTCCAGTAGCACTACAATACACGGACACTTGGCTTACAACATACTTAAGTACACCTAGGTTGTTCTATTCTACAATACATGGCTTCCTGTGTAGCAGTACAATCTTTATACTATACTATACTACAAGAACACTTAGGCATCCTTAAACTGAAGGCTTACACTGTACTACAGGTTCACTTAGGTAACATAACACTGAAGGCACAATTGGCTTACACCGCACTACAGGTTCACTTAGGGAACATAACACTGAAGGCACAATTGGCTTCGACTGTTCTACAGGTGCACTTAGGTAACATAACACTGAAGGCACAATTGGCTTACACCGTACCACAGGTATACAAGGTTTTAGGTAACATAACACTGAAGGCACAATTGGCTTTACACTGTTCTACAGGTTCACTTAGGTAACATAACACTGAAGGCACAATTGGCTTACACCGCACTACAGGTTCACTTAGGTAACATAACACTGAAGGCACAATTGGCTTACACCGCACTACAGGTTCACTTAGGTAACATAACACTGAAGGCACAATTGGCTTACACTGTACTACAGGTATATTTAGGTAACATAACACTGAAGGCACAATTGGCTTACACTGTACTACAGGTATATTTAGGTAACATAACACTGAAGGCACAATTGGCTTACACTGTACTATAGGTATATTTAGGTAACATAACACTGAAGGCACAATTGGCTTACACTGTACTACAGGTATATTTAGGTAACATAACACTGAAGGCACACTTGGCTTACACTGTACTACAGGAACAGTTAGGTAACATAACACTGAAGGCATAATTGGCTTCCACTGTACTACAGATGCACTTAGGTAACTTAACACTGAAGGCCCAATTGGCTTACACTGTACTGCAGGTTCACTTAGGTAACATAACACTGAAGGCACAATTGGCTTACACAGCACTACAGGTTCACTTAGGGAACATAACACAATTGGCTAACACCGCACTACAGGTTCACTTAGGTAACATAACACTGAAGGAATAATTGGTTCACACTGTACTACAGGTATATTTAGGTAACATTACACTGAAGGCACAATTGGCTTACACCGTACTACATGTATATTTAGGTAACATAACACTGAAGGCACAATTGGCTTACACTGTACTACAGGTATATTTAGGTAACACAACACTGAAGGCACAATTGGCTTACACTGTACTGCAGGTATATTTAGGTAACATTAATGGTTATCTTTTGTTGTGTTAAAGTTGGAACCAGAGACCAAGGTTCGAGAGAGCGCTTCATATTTTATCTAAATATACTCGGTCAGGTCGGAGACTGTGTTCGCGATATAGTTACATTCGAGATAACGGTTTTCAACTGTATTTATTAACCGGTGCTTATAGTCTACCAACTGTGTACTTTATAAATGTATTGACATGTACGATTGTGCAGCTGTACGTTTCATGTTTATCCAGCGATGTCCTGTGATGTTCTATTCGTGAGTGAGGGGTACATTTCAGCTGTTTTAGACATTACACGTCAACAGAAGAGAATAATGCTGCAGGCAACCTCCACAAATATCTCACTTGGTGCAAATTTAAAAATAATTATGACTAGATCACCGAAGTTCGAAAGTTAATGAGTATGGTGATGTAGGAAATTTGTGGAACGATAACCGATGCAAGGACAATTACGAAAAGATGAAATTAATGCAACAGTTCTCTCTTTTTGGGTTTCTACCTCGTGGTGTGGGGACCCCTTATACTTGCCAGTCGGACATCGTCGCTATGCGTTGTCAGGTTTGGTTGGAATTATTTAGCATTAAATCGCCGAAAGACAAACTGGTTAGAATTATAACCCTGGAATGTTACAACACAGTGGAATTGTACTTAACCAAGATACAAGTCAGTTGATGTTACTGTCTAATAAACATCTCATCTACGTTCAAAACTGTGTACATGTACAATGTACAACTGCAATCCAATAAACGTCAAAGCTGTGTACAATGTACAATGTATATGTGTACATCTTATCAATGACAACCCTGTGTACAATGTATATGTGTACATCTTATCGATGACAACCCTGTGTACAATGTATATGTGTACATCTTATCGATGACAACCCTGTGTACAATGTATATGTGTACATCTTATCGACAACCCTGTGTACAATGTCTATGCGTACATCTTATCGACAACCATGTGTACAATGTATATGTGTACATCTTATGACAACCCTGTGTACAATGTATATGTGTACATCTTATCGACGACAACCATGTGTACAATGTATATGTGTACATCTTATCGACAACAACCATGTGTACAATGTATATGTGTACATCTTATCGACGACAACCCTGTGTACAATGTATGTGTACATCTTATCGACGACAACCATGTGTGTACAATGTATATGTGTACATCTTATCGATGACAACCATGTGTACAATGTATATGTGTACATCTTATCGAAGACAACCCTGTGTACAATGTATATGTGTACATCTTATCGACACCCCTGTGTACAATGTATCACTGTCATTGTGTACATCTTATCGAAGACAACCCTGTGTACAATGTATATGTGTACATCTATCATCGACAACCCCGTGTACAATGTACAATGTATGTGTACATGTACATCTTATCGAAGACAACCCTGTGTACAATGTATATGTGTACATCTTATCGATATTACATCTTATCGAAGACAACCCCGTGTACAATGTACAATGTATAATGTGTACATCTTATCGGCGACAACCCTGTGTACAATGTATATGTGTACATTTTATCTTAGAAAATGATTTTCATTTCCTATTTGAACGTAATGTTTATCATAATTTGCGCTGTAAGTTTTTCAAAGCATTACCATACCAATTTATCAGCAGCAACAAATTGTTTTACTTACATTAAGGAAGCATTGTCATTGCGTTCTTTATACACATGAATCTGACTGTCAATTGCCACTATCTAATAATTGCCCTTGTTTTTTTGTATTGTACATGGACCTTAGGTCTCTTAACGAAATAAACTTGATTGACTTTGTCTTGATTTCACCAAACCCATATTTAACGTTCGTGAACTCTTTCTTGTTTACGTCAAACATTTTTCAAGCCTATTTTGTTTCGTTTAAAATACACTTTTGTACGTCAAGTGTGTGTCTTTTCTTAGACAAACAGCGGTAACAATATGTTAAACATACGACCATACGTTGCGCATTGGTCTAGCCAGGGTCCATTTTGACAATTTATGCCCAGCCAGTCTAAGTAGAGTTCATGATTTGTCAGTTTAGTCTCCATCAGTCCACGACATCAAACATACACCGACCTTCTAGTGCAGCGGCTTGTGTAGCAAAAATGCTTCCCGTGGGAAGTGCATGTTAATGTTTGGAACCACTGATAATTGTGATCAGTATTGCATATGGATTCAGAAAAACCATGGTTCCATATTTTCTGATGATTAGAAGTGTCATTCTGGGGTAACTGAACATCGGTACCCATAATCGAGCTGCAACACCTATGTGAGAAAAACATATTTTTATAAACCTATCACAACATAGGCATGTAGTATGTCAAAATGTACCTTGTGATGGTTGTTTTACAACTACCATATATCATTAATCTCAATAACATATATATACATAATAATCACTATGATCATAAGTGCTTCTGCCAAAACTGAAGGTTTGTTGCAGAGGGTATGCATTCAACCCTGTTTGAGTGTGTGTATTTATGTGTTAGCATCTTTACTCAAATACTACTAGATGGATTTCAATGAAACTTTCTGGATCTCTTGGGTATGTCCCTAGGACAAATCAATTAGATGTTGAAAAAGTACACTCTTCAAAAAAAGAAACGCAAGAGCAAAATATCATTGAAAAACTTGGTCTTATTCAATCAACGAAAATAAAC